TCTAGAAGGAAGACGTCTTTCGCGCGCCACGAGGAAATCTGGGAGGGAGTGGTGGCGCTTCTTCGAGCCCTGGTGGATGAGTTGTGAGGGCAGGTGGGGCGCCCCAGTTAAGGCAGTCTCATCTCGCGGTGACCCTATCAGGCATTCCATCGCCTCGCGCCCCGTCTTTCTGCTCGGCCCCTGAATGTTGCCGGGCCTCGACCCTGCGCTCCCTCTCACCTCAACCTTCTCTCCGTACCTGTGCGGGGTATATATCCACGTGTCCCTCTCACCTCGTCCTTCTCTCCGTACATGTGCGGGGTATATATCCACCTCCCCCCCCTTCCCTCAGGGGAATGGCCTTGAGGCAGAGCAAACCGGACGGGGGCGCCGTCTGTCCCACGTGTAAAGGCGGCGGAAAGAATCCTTGTTTCAATTGCAAGGTACGAGGCTCTCTGGGTCGGGTCAATGGGGAGAAGATCGGATCGGTGGGGGGGCTCGCAGACTCGGCGTCCTCAGGGGCGTGGCCAGGAGAAGGACAGGCACCGAAGGTGCTATCTTCTTACAGGGGACTCGTGCATTGTCAACCTTCCCCGCGATCTCACGTGATTTGCGTCGCACTCATGCACGACATTTCTATTTTATTTAGGGGAAGGGAGTCCTGGTTTCGGGGCAACGCTCAGTTACCTGCTATATCTGCAAAGGAGAAGGAATGTACTTTTGTGCCGATTGTCAGGCGACGGGGATGATTAGTCGGAAGAAGGTGTAGAAATACACAGGATAGTTGGATGGTGTGAAGGATGATATTGATATTGAATGCTCGTCAGCTTTGAGTGTCCGGGAGATGAGAAGAGCATCATGGCAAGTAAAGAAAGGATAAGTACGTATCCGAGAGCCAGATTGATGGAGCGAGGATGACTCTTGAATGGAGAATGATGAAAAATCGACAGACAACTTTGCCGCAAAGCTACCTTGTTTCCACAGTTTAATACCTCTTGTTTCACATCGAGATGCAGAGAGGGAGGGGGGGGGTGTTACAAGATGCCGTCTCACGTCAACGAGGACAAGAAGCGCACGTGAGGGGCAAGATTGTGATAAAATTCCTCTCCACGCCCTCTCTTTTCATACACTCCCCCCCCTCTTTTTTGTTTCTTGTACCTAAAATTAGTGTGGCTACCCTGAAATTGTGGTGTTCGTCACGCTTAAGCCGTGCTGCCCTACTTTTTTACCCCAGCCGTTCTGGTTTCATTAATTTTGAAAAATGCCATGCTCTCGAATTATAGACGTCTGCGTGCCCTTCCTTGAAAACGAATGATATCTTTTTCTCTTAAAACGTGACTTGATAGGGCTTTGTACAATATTCTAGAAAAAATTTTCTTTTATGTGAAGGCGCGGCGTCTGCTTACCAGGGTAGGGGGGGTAGGCGAGATCAAGTTGATGTTCGCCAGTTGCTTGCGGGAACGCAAGTTCTGGGAACCACGTGCAACACAGCCATTCAAAGGCATGACCAGACGCTAAAAATTGTCTCGAAATCATAACTGAATACTTAAAAATGAAAAACTGTAATCGATGAGGCGGGAAATGTATAAAATATTGGCTGAGTCTCACGCATTTCCTGCGAGCTTGCCCTTTGACATGCCGAGTTTGTGTTTCCATTCACGATACTGCAGCAATGAGCGGGCCCCGCTGGCGAGAATCATTATTCTATAAGAGACATCAGGAGATATTCTGTCCCAGGGGTTCATAAGACTCCATGTCAAAGGCCAACACCACCACGGCCTCCCCGTCGGACCATTCCGAAGTGACAGGCGGGGTTCTTGCTGGCGCCAATCCGCTGCATTCTACAGTTGCCCTTTTCCTTCTCCAAGTCGTCATCATCATGGCTACCACGCGAATCCTAGCCTACGGGTTACATTACTTGAAACAACCGAGGGTGATAGCTGAAATTCTGGCGGGTATCCTCTTGGGCCCATCAGGAATGGGCAACATTCCCGGCTGGTTGTTCAACGTCTTCCCCGACAGGTCCCTCCCCTTCTTGACACTGGCAGCTAATGTTGGCCTTATTCTATACATGTTTTTAGTGGGCTTGGAGCTCACACCCGGGGGTAAGGTCGGAGTCCATGTACGGATAGACACCCGTGCGCAGGCGTCTTTGTATAAATAATTCTCTCTTGTGGGGGGGAGCATGCCGGCTTACACCTTGCTCGCCTCGATAGCTGATTTGTATTTTTTACCGAATTTCCTATTTTCTCCACTTGTTCCTCCCTTCTCAAAGCGCTTTGGACGAACGGTGCGTGCGGAAAGGTGGAGGAAATAATGTGCCAGAATGTTGTGCCTTCCCTTGGAATGGGTTCACGACACTCACCCTAGCCTTCTTGTCGTGTCCACAACTCCTTTTCACAGCGAGACAGTCAGTCCTGATTAGCATGGTCGGGATCGTCTTTCCTTTCCTTTTGGGCTGCGGGGGGAGCGTTGTTCTCTACCGTCACCGAGAAAACACGGAAGAGGTGCCCTTCTCCTCGTTTCTGCTCTTTACCGGGCTGAGCTTGTCCATCACCGCTTTCCCAATATTGGCACGGATATTGACGGATCTCAACCTGATGGAGACGGAGGTGGGCGTGATGACGATAGGCGCCGCCGCCTTGGGGGACGCGGTGGCGTGGTGCTTCCTGATACTGGTCATCTCCATACTGCACAGGTGGGTAAAAGCAGTCTCTCTCGAGGAAAAAAGGATGTGTCGTTGCCCGGGGAGAGTATGTGGTGCGATGGGTAGGGCTCGTGGGTTCTTGGGTACGACAAGGCGACCGAGGAAATGTCGTGTGGTCAGTATGTCTGGTGGGATGGGCGGCCTGGCCTCCTTTGCCTCTTTGGGCGGTCGGACAAAACTTAGGGTCGCCGGTACACGCCTGAAGAAATATATAGTGTTGGGGTGAGGGTTGGGGGTAGGGTTGGGGTTAGGGTAGGCTTAAACCCCAACATTTAAGTCCATGGCCGCGTCTTCTGAGCCCTCAGCTTCAGCCTCGTATGTCAGAGACACTGGCATCCCCCTTGCCAATCTCCCGGGGGGCGATAAGTCTACTTACTCGGACACGTCCCTTTGACCTGATACCCACACTCTCCTTTCCCTACAGCTCTACCCTATTGAACGCGCTCTATGTCTTCTGCATCGTGCTCGCCTATGGGGCCCTGCTCCTTCTCCTGGGCCGACCCCTCCTTTCCCGGCATCTAGGACGGGCAGCCCGGGCAGGAAGCGAGACCTTACAACGGTCACTCCTAGCGTTGACGTTTATGGCTATTTTCCTCTCTGCATTCTTGACTGTCAGTGCACGGAGG